GTAGATATGTGGGGGCGTGTTAGAACCAGCCGTTTTAGGTAGGCGTGGTTGACTCTTAACTTTTATAAAGAATATCTCTTTGGATTTGAGACTTTAGTCTTTGCAAATTTACAGATCTTCTTTATGCACCAAGAGCTTGTAACACTTCAAAGAGAAAGGAAAAATTTAAATCGCATCATATGACCCCTTTAAATAACTGTAATTACAGATTTAGGTTAAATAAATACGTCAGTCTTTATTTTTCTTCTTTTTTTCCTTTTTCTCATCAAAAGCTGCAAGACAGCCCACAATTCAGCAAACATTTCAGAAACAAATCAAAGAAAAAATAAACAAATACTGCTGTTCCAAATATTCTGTATGTTGCTTAAAAATAAAATATATTGTGTTTTATTTCTTTTTTACCCAGACATTTAAAAATAACACGTTTTATACCGTGAAACCGTGATATTTTTGCTTAAGGTTAACATACCATCAAAATCTCATACCGGCCCATGCCTACTGTATACTATTATTTCTGATATTTTTCTACTTATATTTATCGTGTAAAAACATTTTTAAAAAGCACAATATGTATTGGCATATATATTACATAATAGTTATTTTCATGTAATCACTATGTTACCACATGATACAAATTGCTCCACAAATAGCCAAAACAGATGAATAATGGATAAAAAAAGACATATGACCTCTGAAGCTAGACAGTGGACAGACTTGCGCCTGAGCCATAAAGAAGCTTTTTGTACAATTCTGATATTTTCAGCTTATAATGTTTCAAACCTCTTATCATTCAGACAAGTCAAAAAAGTTCAGTGTAATAGCCCACTATTAAGTTGGATAACATCTGTTGTTATACATACAGGCCTAAGAGTCCTGCCAAGTCATATTGTTTTTATATACATGGCATTCATACAAACCAGGTGTTTGTTCAGTAAACATTAGTATATATGTGATATAAGGTTAAGCACTTCAGCCCACAGACGTTATGAATTGTTCTGAATGCTTATATGGTTTTTATAAACATCTCAAGCGCAAAAGTCTAAAAACTTTAAGCATTGTAAAAGATCACACAGACAAACTGCAGTCTCACAACAAGGACAACCTGCTTCATAATTACATGATACAAATACACACATGAACACATAAAAATACTGATATGAATCCAAGTTATCAGTACAAGACCATGAAATTAAATATTGTGAAAATACATGATTGCAACAGCCCTTGACCAGATATACACTTTATGAATGATGTTAAATGTTAAAAAAGGTGACAATGTAAGAAGTACCATTGATAATTTGTTTGCAGTAAACAAGTGACGCATTCAACACTATCCCAGAGTGCAATAGTGTCATTGTGCATAGTGAAGATTAGAGTGACTGACTGTATGGAACTGGCTAGTTCATTTGCTTCTAGAGGTCTTAATAAATATCCTAAAATTGCATACAAACTAAATACTGATGAAATGTTAAGAATATACTTATTTATAATTGTCCACATTTTGAATAGTCCATATGTAAATGATAAATAGTATGTGATGTCTTCACCATTTCATGTGCCTGATGCATCATTAAGGGGATAGTTAACCAAAAATAAAAATTAAGTCATCAAAGAGAGAAATCTAAAGAAATGTCCCACTCGTGCTCACCCATATAGAATAGTGGCCAGCATAAAGCTTTTTAAAAAAGATGCAGAAGTAGGCATATTACAGAATGCACCCACACTTCCTAACACTATCGCATATTCCAAGTGTTCTGGGGGTATACAATAAAGTTTGGTAAAAAACAAACTGAAATTTTATGTTTTACAGTCTCAGCCATACACAAAATCCAACAGCCAAAGTCAGGATTTTTGATGAAGAATCCATTAAATTTTAGTTTGTTTTCACCACACTTTGTTGGGCGATATATTGCGTCACCAAAAATTATTGAGGTCATGTACATATATTGCGCGATAAGTCGATATATTGATTATTGCGACAGGCCTAGTTGTAGATCCCTAGAACACTTGGAATATATGGCATGTGTTGTTTGCGATTATTCTGTGATACTTTTGCATCTTTTTCTAAAAAAATACTTGCCGCTATTCCCTGCCATTATATGGGCAAGCGGGATATTTCTTTAAATTTCTCCCTTTGTGGTCTGAAAAAGAAAGAAGGGAATACTGCATTACAACAACACAAGTGGGAGTAAAAAATAACTTAATTAGATTTTTTTGGAAAAACTATCCCTTTAACAGTAGAGCAACAGCTCATTGACAAAACTTCAAAAGAAAAGATTAAGTTTGTCCATGCACACCCTGACCTTAAATGCATTGTATTTTCATAAAGATAAAACTGTCTGATCACAGGGAATTTCACTGAATGTCTAAATGTCCTTTGCCTGGCCTTCAACCATGTTTATTATAATATGTCCCTCATGCTGGCTACCAAAGCTTTTGAAGTGAAATCTGTAAGACCAGTTCAAAGTATCAATTATAAATAATATCATCTGTCAAACGGAAACTGCAAACAAATCCACAATATACAAAAAGAGGAAGGAGATCTGGACTTCAGCAAAACAGATAGTCTGAAAGATTTATATAAAGATGAGGAAACTCACCACCCTGGCAGCACGTTCCTGTGATTCACATTTCCTGCAGAACCAGGGGCCTGTGGGGACTTGGACAATTCCATAGCAGGCTGAAACAACAGGAATGAAGGAGAGATCAGTTAAAAAGACTTGCTTCCAACTACTGTAAATCTGGCAGCTTGACTATCTTGTCCTGTCAAGTTTCAAGATTAACATGTGAGAGTGTTAAAAATGATATTTTAAGCAATGTGTGAGATGTAATCCTACTGCAACAACATCAGAGTATGAATTTAACACCCACCATGAGCCAAATGTGGGTAATTTTTGCACAGTTGTGGGTAACTCATGTGGCATGTGACTTCTTGTAACACATCTCAAACTGACATATGACAGGAAATGCTGTTGCCTAGATGCAAAGACACGTACTTGGGGAAAAAAAAAAACACGTGTGATTGTATCTTGGTGAACAGACAAAACAAAATGTAGCATAAGCATTTTGCAGAACAAAAGCATGTGGGAAGTTTCCATGTTTTCTTGTGTCACCGGTTCCACAGAATTTGGTCTTATACATGAACATTGAGGTTGACTTATAATGGGTATTTTGCCATTTTGGGGTCAACCTGAACTAAGTTCTAAACAGACAACAGTGTGAATGAAAAGTTAAGTGGACCAAAAACAGTCAGGTTCACTATCAAGGCCAGGGAAGACTGCAAAGAGAATCTTTTTTGGTCCACTTACAAAGGTCTTTGCGTGTTTGTTCAATTTTACATATTTAAAAAAATATTTTATATATTTGAACTGGAAAAATAAAATGGCTGGTGAAACACTAATCATTAATCATTTATATTTGGTGGAGAGAAAATCATAATCATCAAAATCATAACCTGAATAAAATACTTCAGATACATGCAAGAATTCTAATCTTTGCTTTATAGTTATTTTTGAGCAAACGTAAATAAACGTTATGGTTCCACTTATCAGAAATGATCAATGACAGGCTACAAACTCACAATAGTCAGCCAATACAAAAACATTACAAAAAATCTCTTTATCAGAAGCTTGTCTAAACACTAACATCTGTCTGCAAGTCTATAGGTGACAACTTGATCCATTTGTACTGGATCATCTTCAGTGAACTAACAAAATAGATGCTGACACCAGTTCTAGCATATTAAGCATCTGATCTGACCATATCGGCTTAAACAATGTTAAACAAGAAGTAAATATTAAAAGACATCCAACTATTTCCATGGCATGAATGACAAAACATTTCTTAAAAGAAATTATCAACAGGATCTCAATGTAGAAAAAGCACTCTTCAATGACAGGTTTTAATAATGACAGGTCAGATTTCTACTTTACATCTAAAACAAAATAAGTTAACTTAGCATTTGTTTGCTCAATTTTTCACTTGTCTGCACCCATTGAGTTTCCTACAAGGACAACTTTCTTCGAACCAATGTACTTATGTATGTGAATATGTAATTTGAAGCGTCATTCAACCTAAAATAACACAAGACAAACAACTACACGCGGAGAAAACAGTTAAGATCCTGTTAAGAGTCCCGGAATTAGTTGACAACTTTGCTGACTAGCCATAAATGAGTGTTATCAGCCTAGCTGTAATGACCTACAGAGCTTTTCTGAGTGTGACTCATCTCTGTTTCCATAGCTGTGACTGACACGTTGTTGGTCCTGAAACTGTGGAGATAATGAACAGCCATGAGCGACATGCTGTTACAGCCGAGTAGCGCTGGTGCTAACACATAACATTAGCACTCCGACGGGACTTCGGCAAACCGTTGCTTCACAGCAACCGACACACCTTAAAAACACCACAAATTAACCGTCCAAATATTTTACATTTCTCAAATGTCATCCCAATAACGCAAATACGCTCCAGCGGTTAAACTTAGGTCATACTGACTGTTCGGTTGAGCTAAGCTAAGCTAGGCTAGGTTATGCTAAGCTAATTCTCAAACCACAACAGAAGGGAACTTACCAAAACACCAGCCTCGAATAACCCGTCCCTCAAAAAAAATAACAGTGTAGAGATGTCGAGACGCTTATATTTACCTTGGTGGACGGCGACGTTACAGCCGTGACCGTCGCAGTAGACTAGGGGGTTTTCGGCCCAGCCTCTCTCATCCGAGCAGACGCAGCAGCCTCCGATCATCTCCTTCATATTACTCGCCGAGTCGTCGTCTTCCTCTGCCAGATACAGCTCACTGGATACCATCTACCATGGGCAGCGCACAAAGACCAACAAAAAGGCGGTCGGGCGTTTGTCTCACGAATCCCTATCTCCCCTGAAAGCCGTATTTTATGTCCCATTTCGATGAAAAGCCATATTTCAGTTGCGTTGTTGTTGAAGGCGGTATTTTTTTGGGCTCAAAGCACAAACCCCGTACTGAAGGCTCTCGGGATTGTGGAGGCGCGTGTGCGCGCATGCGTGGAAAAGCCGAACGGGGGAGGCAGCGGACTAGAAGAGGCCTCGCGGGGCTGTTTGATCCACGCGGCGAACGCCATTGAATTTTACCGCGAGCAGGGGACGAGCTACAGTGCACTGCACTTCTACCGCAAAGTATGATCTTCTGGGAGTTCTGTTTTTACACTGAAACGATGTTACTTTACAGACTCATTAAGCAGGTTCTGTTCACATTTGTTATTAAGGTCAAAATTATCCTCAGAAGGTTACCCCGAAACTTAAACTGTATATATCATATTTATTTAAACATTATTTAAGATAAAGGCAAATGATGCATACAGTGGAGTTTTGCCCTCAGAATTAATTAGTGTGCTCGTTTAAGCTCATTCTCATTTTTTCTCAGAATAACAGATCTATAGGGAATCCCTGAGAATTGTGAAGCAGTATGCATATCCCATTTTAAGGTTTCATCCGTTTAGATACTGTACTAAGATATTTACATAGTAGCCTATTGGCTATGTGCTGGATACAAATCTCACGGAATAATAATAATAATAATAATAATAATGCCACACGGTAGGCTATAGGCTATGACCGGTTTGCGTGTTGTTGGGCATATAAACTGCCTGTCATTTTTTTTTTCAGGCAAATTTTAGAGGTTATTGTCAACATTAACCAAAAAACTAACAATCGTTTAGGTAGCTTTCAGTTTTATTTAAAGCTTTTATTAACGTCAACGGCTGCTTACTTGGCCTATGACAACTGGGCCCATGAAAACAAAGGTGCTGATTAACGTGAAAAATGTATCATTCTTATTTTATTGCTCTGCTTTACATCTTAACTTGCCAAATTTGTGAACGTGCAAATAAACTATTTTAAAACCAAATCTGAACCGATGGTTTTGGCATAGACCTTGACCCAACCGATTTCCATGGCCCCATTACACAACACGAACCTGTAATAGGCTCCAGCAGTACGAAACTTCGTCTTCTTATATGTTGTGGAAATTAAGGGGAGGCGCTCATATATGAATATTCCTAGATTGTTTGTTTGTTTTTATTTTAATGTTGACACTTATCGTCCCATTTAACGTCGTCCCCTTTGTGACTTGAATAATAAGTAGGCAACACAACATTCATTTAGGATATTTTATTTTGATAGGACACTATTTTATGAGCCTTAATTCAAGAAAGGCAGCTCGCTGGCATTGGGCGTTTTTGGATCAGGTCAGTCTAAAATGACCATGATCTGGCTGTGAAGTCATAACATTTTGAAATGTGTTTGGTGCACTATCAGCTGTTAGGGTTGGTTAAGCCACTTCCGCAGTTGCTATGGCTCACAACCCTTGGCGTTGAATGATAACCGTCAGAGATATTTCGACCTGTCATGATGTCCATCAGAATTCTCTCGCTTGGTGAGTAGCCCACCTGTCATTCAAAACAAGCTGCCCCTGCAGTAAAATATTAATGCAAGAACCTTCCCAGTTAGGCTACATAAATTATTTAACTTTACACACGGAGCATAACGTTCAATGTTTAATAATACGACATTTTATTAATTTATACGAAATTTTCCTATATGAAATGAAATGTTCTAATAGTCTATAGAATGAGTCCTTTTGGGGGTTTCCCTGCTTTAGCCTCTTTTCACGGTAGAGTTTGGGGTCGTGTATGAGGCTTGTCGGACTCGGAGCAATTTATTGGGGGGGGGGTAATGTTGGAATCATTTACAACATCAAGTTCAGCTAATTGAGTTGACACATACGCTGCAATAAACAATTTATTTTCGTTGATATTTTGATAGCGTTAGTTTTGTCGTATACCAATATCTGGTTCTGTAAAATCGGCATAAGCAAAGAGAAAATTATCATTTGGACACACAAGATTTATTAGCTGATATTAGACAAAGTTCTTAATACTATGCTATACTATTTGAATGTAGACCTATGTTTTTTTTATCAGATTAACGTTGCTTCAAAAAAAAAAAAAGTTTACAAAGCCTTGACATATAACTAATTTTATTATTATTTTTGAATTTAAATAAGCTGTCTCCTATAGTTTACTGATGTGTAGGCCAGTAGGTTTCAAGACCCAATAACGCTCTTCAGGGTTATTTACATCCACAAAAGACTAATATCGTATCCTCCTGAATTAAATCTAACAACTTGTTACCCTAAAACTGGTAATGCCTCCATTCCTTATCCTGTGTCTAATGAATACTGCATCTACAGAAAGTCAGTAACCTCATAGCTTATATCTAAACAGTCTGATGAAAATATTTAATATAATATTACGTGCATTTTTAAATAACCTATATTTAAGAATAGGCGGTGTTGGCTTTTTTCACATGAAGGGGCATATGCTAATAGTTTTAGGATTAAATCATCTTTCCTAACTATAAGGTCTGTAACGAATGTCAAACAGAGAGGGTGCAATGGACGACGTGTTTTTCCCTGTCAAAGGCAGGGATGCTCCGGATGCAGGATCGAAGTAATAGTTTGCCTATAGCACGAGCTCTCTTTTGCGCAAAGACTTGTGGGTAATTCAGGGGCAGGCACATACACATGCAGATATGACACTGCAGGGTGAAAGGTTATTTCAGCCCACCCCCAACCAGCTCACTCTGTAAATTCAAGTTGCATGTACCAACTCATACGTTCTGAAAGAAGAATGTGTTTGAGATGGGAAGGAACTATTCATACTGTTGGCATAAATAATTCACTATATTTAATGCTTGTTTCAGAAATGTAAATGGAGATTAGTTTCGAGTTGAACAGGGATTGTTTAGCGAGTCGTGTTTAAAGTGTGCCTCATGATTTTCATAGACACGATAGAAACTTTGGACTTACAGTCATGAAATAGTTCTGTGTGCACGTGTGTACAAGAAAGTTTATGCCCATTGATGTTTAGAATGTATGCGTCCCACGAGATGTTCGCACCGTGTTATTGAACGTCGTTCAACATTTACTACATCATCTTGAAAGCAGATTTTCGACTTCTATAATTTAGTGGAGCAGTGTTTTGCTTGTGCTAGAACTTCAACGGCATATATGGATCTCTTTGCTTTTGTATGCCAATTTATCGTGCATGCAAAGAAAACATTTTACTAAAATGTCAACTAAACAGTTGGCTTAATGTGTCATTAAAGAAATTAGACAAAAACTTATTCGAAATCGCTGAAACACTTGAGCTGCCCCGTATAAAATTATTAGACAACTTAAATGCAAAGGAAATGTGTTCTTTGTTCTTCTATTGTTAGCTAAAGCGCGACGAACAAACGTCCTCTTACCTCACTCTCTCTAATGTGAGAAGCTTCTTCATCAAACTTTGAGCTCGCGATCCTTTACGAAAAGTATGCGCACATTTACTTAATTTAACTGAATGATAAATGGGTTGCATGAGCTTTTTTTATTTGTCACCGGACGTCTTTGCCATGCTGTGTGAGACTCCGCGCACGTTGTAGTGAGGTAGCCCACGCGGACCCCCACTTGGCGAGTCCGTCACGTTTGAGGGTCCAGGGCCCATCCTGATTTCATTGCAATAAATAAGTCCAACTCTCAACTGTCTCAAAATAGAAGTGACCAAGTCATAAAGATTTAATTCTTCTCTTAATTATAAATAAATCACGCATATGAAAACAACAAGAGTTTTAAAATGTTGATTTATTCACATATAAATGGTTAGAAATCATATCACTGACTTGCAGCGTATGCATGCACTTCCTACTGGTGATCAAAATGAAACTGCGTTTGTGATTGTTGTCAGATTAACTCAGCTTTGTTAATATAGGATGTGTGTTTTGTTTTAATTAATTTATTTGCATCCCATATATTATAATATATCCTGTGCGTAGTGTAAATTTATAAATAAATATAGGCTATTTAAAGACGACTCCCCAGACTGAGGAAATAGGCTAATCATTTCCAGTAAACTGCATTGGAAGTAGCCTAATAATATGATCAATGATTAATCTGAGTTATCCTGATTTTACAAAAGTGATCAACTTTCAAATAAATCTTAAAACGGGACAACAAAACATTTCTGAAGGCAAAAGCCCTCAACTCTTCACCCACGACGATGCACACTGGGTCGAAGATCAATCATTATCACTCATGTCACAATTGAGGGCTATTCAAGCTGTGAGGTTTCAGAATCAAAGGACCAGGACCTGCGTGTTGTCTTTCAAATGATGTGTGCCCCTTGGATAAAAGTTATAGAGAGTTCAGCGTAGGTTGGAATAAAATTGACTATTAACAGTGCAAGACGGCAGAACGTTCAAATACCAGTGTATATGCGGAAAATCAAAACTATCAAATGGCATACACTAACACGTGGAACAGCTCATTAATGCAGGTCCAATAACATTAGAATAATTTTCCCATCGTTAAATAGCCTACATTTGTTTACTGCATGTCGGAACAACTACCTAGCCGCTCTCTGAGCGGAAATAAACTCTACAAGTGAGAGAATAATTATAGAGCAGCTGCAGCATAAATGAAACGCTTATGAAAGAGTTAACAATTGTATCTTCTTTGTATGCACATTTGTTGCATTTATATGTATTTATATATTACGCTGACAATATTTATTTGACATTTTATTTTAAAAACGTAAAAGTGTTGTTTAAATATTTGCAGACATTCAGGCCTATAAACATTATGTTTGTCCGTTTGTTTGACAAAGCAGTTGCAGCAGGAGCCACAGTAACAGGGAGCTGCACTAAGACTCAACGCTGAAGGTTTAACAGGAGACCGAGTGCTCTTAATCAACAGTACGACGACTCACTTCTAGGAAAGGTAGCCTGCAGTAGCCTATAGAGTGACATACACTCCCTTGAAAATCTTTATGAACTAGAGTCTATTTATGTTACCGCCCCTTGCGAATGAGTGAGGTGGGATCGTGTACATTCTGTCAAATACCGATGCTGAATTTGGTACTAAATGAGCTGTGGTGATTAACACGAAGCACTTCCACCACATAGCCTATATAGCTGTCTGTGCAAGCCATAATCAGGTAAACGCGGATGCAATATAGCATAATATAACAATTCATTATCAAGAGCAATACTTGACAATGACGGCATAGAGGGTTTAATTGATCTAAACTATTTTATGTCATAAAATTATTTCAACCAATATATCAATAATCAATT